CTATACATACTTTTTCAGCTAAGAATGAGTTCAAATATATCTACAGAATGTAGAAATATATTCTATAGAAATAGAATATATATAGAGAGAATGAGCTCCACATGTCTGTAGAAAAGCACATAGATCTATAGATAGATAGATAGATAGATAGATAGATAGATAGATAGATGTATATTAGATTTAGTGCTTACTTGGATATATCATAGGTATCATATCATATTATATTAATCATATTATATATCATATCACATATCATATTATATAATATAGTATTATGTTATATATAAATTATGTACTTCTTTTGAAGAAAAGGTGTTATCCAAAACTTAACATATAGTCTCATGTTATTGAGTATCTCTGGAACACAAATGCAAACAACAGTGCCTTGTGCTTTACCATTGGGGAAGTTTACTTCTGAAGGAGTGCTGGGCACAGATCCTAGAGACTTGAAAGTGGAATTGGTTGTTGTTGACTTGAGTGATGGTGTCAATAATTTGGACTCATGGGTTTTCTTCAGTTTCTTCTGTTTATACCTAACATTTATCCCAAATCTGTTGTTCCCATCTGAAATGACACAAGAAAAGAGTTAAATGTAGAATTTATCAAATTCTATACTTAAAATGATTGAGACTGTGGTATCAAAATTATATGGCCTTAAATAATACCATTAAAGTGTGAAGTCCAAAAATATTAATTCCAATGCTCAACTTTTGTTCATTCTGGGAATTGGCTTTTCTAGGAAGTTGTGAGAAGCAAATTTGTCCTGTGCTGTGTGATACATGAGAAGCCAATGCACCTGCCAAGGACGCCTGCTTTCCCCAGAGCATAAGGCCTTGCAGGTCACTGGTACACCCAGTGGAGCAGATCTCTAGGTACTACTTGTAGACTCTTAGAACACAAATGTTGCCTCCCTAAAGGAAGCAGACTTGGCTTTGAATGGAGATGGAGACAAGCTGCCCAAACTGAAGAGGAGATCGTTTGATGATAGAACACTGGAGATGTCCTCGGGGGAAATGCCAATGTGGAGAGGCAACATTAGTGGCCACTACATCTCCCGCTTGGCAGACGGCCCCATCACAAGAGCCACTCAGGCAGCTCACTTGTGAGGCATCTTAGAAATGCTGACATGTTCATTCCACCTGTCACCAGTCCTTGCCTCTCACATCCATTCAACCTACTGTTGGCTACTGGTCAGAAGGCCCTATGACAGTGCCTGGAACATATTAAGCACGCAGTCAATATTCTTCTAAGTGAATCACAGGTGAGACGACATAGATGAGGAGCAATCCAAGAAATCTGGGCCTAAACAAAAGCTCTAGTAGGTTCGAATACGACTCAGTTCTCGGTCCTCCCTTGACTGCCTTCATCTTAGCACAAAAGCACAAATCATTTTCATGACATGGAAGCAGCCTCTATTTTGGTTGTCTCGTCATATGAATTCATTAGGAGACAAATGAAGATGATGAGTTCTATAAAATATGTACAATTTAAAATATTACCCCAGTTGCCATCTTACCTGAACAGTTATCCAGCTGTAACCATCTGCAATGGAGGTGCATATGCCATTGCTCCCGCACACTCTCCTTCATCACACAGTAAAACACAAAAATGAGGAAGCCTACGCCAAGAGAATGAGATCAGTCTTTTCACCTTTCTTTCACCAGTTAGCACCAGTCCCCTGACTCAGGCCTGTTCTTGCCACCATCAATGTTGCTTCCAATGAACCTCAGGAACACTATGTCTTTCTAATATCTTTATGACCTCCCCAAAGGCATCAATGGCACAAAGTCAGTAGCAATGGCACAAAGACTTCACACCCACTACTGTTTCCTCCATAGGCTGCCTTTAATCCTAGGACATGAGACATAGGGCTACTAGGATACTCACAGATGGCACTCAACAATACTCATCTTCACATACTGAAATTCACATCCTTGACATGCAGCACGCTCTCACATACCAATGACATATGGCAGAAGTCATGGCGTGTCACTTCATTAAGCTATAAAAGACATCCCCCCTGTATCCACTCCCTCTTCAAGAAATTAAGCATTTTGTCTTGACAACATCTTGGTATTCCTGTACAGATGCATACATAGTGAGTTCCAGCTAAGTGACTGAGTCTACTATGAAGCAGACATTCCATCCCTGGACAAGTCTTTGATGACTACAAGACCAGAAGACATCTTGACTCCAAATTTGTGATGGTCTTTGAGCCAAAAGTATATAGATTAGTCATGCATGGATTCCTGGCCCTCGGACATTGTGTGAGATTAGAAATGTATGTAGTGTTAAGCTGCTGAATTTTAGGGGTAGGTTGTTACACAACCACAAGTATCTGATGCACATCTTTGGCATAACTGAAGCATGTGCAAAGCATGCCCAATTCTGGCTTTGTTCAGCAAGTGAGAGGGAAGTGCTGGAGCTATCAATTGGTAATGTGAGACATATTCTATCTCCACCTTGTAAAATAGCTCCTGGGGGAATGAAAGTAGGACTTATGATCCTGACTGAAAATTCCCTGGAGGATTAACCGGATTTCCTCAAGATAGGAGAAGAATTGGCAGGAGTAATTCTTGTCAATACTCTGACTTTTATTTATGGTCCATGCCTAAAATCATTATTCACAAAGCCCTTGCAGATAACTTAACCTGAAAAGCACCCTTCACACTTCTGAGCTGTCATAATACTTTGCCTCTCATAGTATTGCCCTACTTAGCCACATAATTCTCTGCATATTACCCATCTGGTCTTCCAGCTGTCAAGTGTTTGAAGGTCTCGCTTCAGTCTCCTTTACATCTTCATATCACCTCTCCCTTTGACCCCAGCACTGTGAGCACAGTTCAATAGACAGTTGTTGACTTGACCTTCTAGGCATTTGACACAAATTCTCATTGCCATCTATAGCCTCATCAATATAACAATATACTTGTTTGGACCTCAAAATATAATTTTTGGCTTAAGTGCTATTTGGAAATCTTTGTTCTCTATAAAGGGTTCAACTTACTTCTTTGCATTGGCAGATTGTCCTGCAGGTAAATTATTCTTAGCACTCATTGCAAACTGGGCACAAATCAAACGGGTAAATTACTCAAAGTTTGTATCAGCTACTTCCTTAGTGGAAGTAATTTTTTTTGCTTAGTACTGGGGATTAAACATAGGTCTTTATACATTCTTGAAAAGTGCTCTACCATTGAACTATATCTCCAGCCCTTTTTTAAAAAACCTTTTTATTTTGAAGCAAGGTCTCACTAAGTCCCAAGGGTGGCCTTAGATTTCTTGCTCTGTAGCCTAGGAAGGGCCTTGAACTTAAATTCTCATGCCTCATCCTCCAAAGTAGTTGTGATTCTAGCTCTGTTTTCTGAGGTCTAGCACAAAGTCAAGAAACTTGGATTGAGACCAGCGATGAACTACAAAATTTATCCTAGTTTGACAATACCTCCCACCAGTTAAGTTCAGAGGAAGGACTTTGTTTTGAAAGGATGCCAACAAACAGAAGTACTCAAAAGTAGGGCCAACTAGAAAGGTGATGTCCATGAGATAAGGCTGGGATGCTGTATCTAGATAAGGAAATACTTGGGAGAAGCAATACAGGATGAGGAGAAGTGATAGCATTAGTCACAGATCTGAGAGGACTGTCATAAAGTAGACAAATTATGTTTATTCTGTATGATTGCCAGGTCGGAACTAGAAGTGATGGGAGGAAGCTCCAGAATAGTCATCTATTAACAAAGCAACAGCTAGTGTTTACTAAGCAATGACACTGTGGCAGGCATCATGTCGTTACCCTCTTATTTGTAGGTGAGAGATCTTAGACACCATGATGCTTAATAAACTTTGCCTAGGTCACAGAGCTCACCTTGAGCTGGCAACATGAGCACTGAGCAGGGGCTGTCTGACTAAGGGCTGAAGGTCTTAACCATTGCACTCATCTAAGGAAGAAGACTAGGGTATGAATCAGAGAAGATCTAATGCTAAATGTTCTGCTTCATGGAATGCTGAGCATTCAGTCCCTGGGAAGTTGCAGGAAGAGTCAGGCGATTTTCTGTCACTTGATGGAGAGTGGGATTGGCAAGATCCTCCCAGCCCTGAGACTTCCTGATTCCAGGTGGGAGGCAGCAATCTGGAGGCATGTCTCACTAACTCTCCCAAGGGCCTTATCACTCTGTAGAACCAAACAACTGCAGTGATGAAATTCAGTAGTGTTGTCTCTTTCTGGGCAACAGTCACCTGGAAGGCAGTGTAGCAACCTGAAGAGAGCAAGCCTGAGCACCTATTGCTGCTCTGATCCCACATGTGGCTTTGTGAGTCTCATACTTAAAGGTTATTCTGTGAATTCCAATGAGCTGCCTGCCAGCTCTCCCTCTTTTCCTGGCAGCTCTGCTCTCCTTTCCCACAACACATTGATCTGCTTATTCACTCTAAGATGATAGGCGTGAGGGAGGATGCCAGATTGTTTGTTTGTTTGTTTGTTTTGTTTGCCACCAGTATTTTTATGTGTGTACCCTCTCCTTGACAAAGAGCTCATCATAAGCTGAATTTTTCTCTCACCTGACCGAAAGGCATCCTCCTTTCAGTCATGGTTGCAAATTGGCCATTTGTCATTCAAATTTATGATTTGTTCAAATGTTTCATCGCTGTGTGTGTGTGTGTGTGTGTGTGTGTGTGTGTGTGTGTGTGTGTGTTTGCTTTATTGATATTGAATCCTAGAGCCTCACACTTGTTATGCAAGCACTCTTCCACTTTCTAATCTCCCCCCCCCCTTTTTTTTTGTAT